CCGCGTGTGTCCGTGCGTCTGTCCGCGCGTGTCTGTGTGTCCCGGGCCGTCGCAGCCGCCCCTTGTAACGGTCCGCGCGAGGCCCCGCGCGCGCGGTATTTGTTCGCCCCCCGCCCCTCCCCCACCGCTCTTCCGCGCGATTTATGGGATTTGCAAATAATTCCAGGGGGGTTTTCTCCCTGCACACCCCCTTACTACCCCGGCTCCTAACCTCCGCTTCCTCTCCCGCCGCCTCGGCAGTCACCGGGGAGCTCCGTCGTCGCCGGCAGCGCGGGGCCGGGCAGACCCCGCACACAAAGGTCCCGGCCCCAGTCCCTCTCCCGCCGGCCGCGGCTCGCGGGGACTGTCCGGTGAGTCCAGAGCCATGAAATCTGCAGCTCCTGCTCCCGGCGGGCTCCGGCCACCAACGGGGGGTGACTTGAACCGCCCCGCAACTTTCTCCCCGTGCCCCGCACCCCCGACCCGCCGCCAAAGGTAAAGCTGGAGCGAGTCCCCTCGCCAGCCCCTCACAGTGAGGCTCGAACGGAGGAGGAAAATGGGAAATGTTCACACGGAGAAGTGGTTCCCTTTGTTCTTTCATTGTTTCTACCCGAACTGGCGGATACAAGGGATAAACACTTACCTTCTCTCCTTTTTGCTCCAAAACGCACACGTTCCCATCAGCTTTAAAATGCACGGTCCACTTCGGAAGCGACTACAAATGTCGGGAGAGTTTGTATTCCATTCTTTTACACTCTGCTCTTTTTAGTGCAAGATTAAGTTGCCGAGCACGTTGTTGCAAGCCCCCCGCCTTAGTGAATGGTCACGTTTAGGACCCTCCAAGTCCATCCTAATTCTGCCAGTAGAATTGCGGGTATTGGAGGTCTAAACTTTCAAAAGGAAAAGGGCCTGCATCTATCGAGCAGACCTGAAAATGCACTCAGTTCCTCACTCCCTTCCACAAAATGGATATAAACACCTCACCCCAGACAACTCAATGAAATATACATTTTAAAGCTTGAATGTAGAAAAGCTGTTGCCTCGGCTGAGATAAGCTCAAAGCAAATTGGCATGAAGAAAATCTACCTCAGTGTATTCCACAGCGGGAATAGTCTCTGTAGTTTAAAACAAGTAAATAAAAGCATCATATAGAAATGCTAAGCGTAAAGTTAAAAGGAAAAAAACCTTTGAGAGGAATATGCTACCCGGCGTGGAATGGGAAGAATTGCAATTTTTTAAAGTGTCCCTTTTTCTCAAAAATTACTGTTTTTCTTTTTTTCTCCCCATGCAACCAAGGCGGGGGGGAAAGGAACCCATTTTCTGCTCTCTTTGTAGTCCAGTCGGCATTTTGCACCCAGAAACACAGGCAGTTCCTCCCCAAACCTTGCTTTAATCTGATTACGATGAGATTTGCTGATACAATGAATATTTGAAATGATCCTTGTATCTTAGTGAGTGGGAAGCATTTCCAGGCTCCCGTTTCCAAGGCTCCCTGCTTCAGAGGGAAGAGGAGCGGTGGGGAGACCGCTCCCCGAGGTCCCGGAGGGGTGGTGGCCAGGGGTGAGGGGGACAACCCCCTCCTCCAGTGCCCAGGGGCGCTGGTTTAATTTAGCCCAACTCCTCCGGCCGGTGGTTGGAGCAGGATCTTTAAGTGCCTTTTACTCCTGCATCATCACGCCTTTGCCAATTGAAAAATAAACAAATAATAGCAAAATAAATTTTAAAAAAGAGAGAGGATGCAGGCGACTCAAAGTAATTGTGGGACTGGGAGTGCATGTTGTCTCACACCCCCTCTCCTCCTCTTCCTCCCCCTCCTCCCTATGTGGCCTTAATGGCAAACTGGAAGGCCGGTTTATTTCATAGGGCCATATTACAACCAGCAAGGTAAATAGGGAGTCGTGGGGGAGAGGGAGGGAGGGGGGAGGGAGCAAAAGGGGCTTTTCTTTGATAGCATTTAATTGGAATTGAAACATTCTGGGGCTGTAAACATTCTTTATTTATTCAGCACACATAAGCGGGCATTGTTTTATCACCATCATAATTACGGTGTCCTTTAAACTGACTGATAGCAAAGGAGATAAGGGAATGCGCCTGTAGCTCCAGATCAAATCGCTGGCTCGCCCCTCTCCCCGGGTCACCAAGATCCACACGGTCCTTGGAGATGAGGAGCGCCGGAAGATTGTGGCCTGGCTATCCCTTACGTCATGAAAGTGATTTGTACCACATTGCTAATTTGGTGCAATTCATAACCTCCTGATCTCCTTCCTTTGCAACTGCTTTTCAGTTTGCAGGGTACGATTTTTAAGATGTAGTTTCCCACCGTAGAAATTAAAGAGTGATCACCTATGTGCAATAGAGGATCTTTTTTCCCAATGTTTGTTGCTTTACCTTTGTCTAATTAAAAATGCAAACTTTTAGGATCCTTTCAGAACAAAGCCTCACCAAATCCCCTTTACGTCCAAGGATTTGCAAATTTATAAAGGCTGCATTGAATTCAGCATGGGTCAAGGGGCAAAAAAAGGGTAGAAGGTCACTGCATTTTGATTATGGGTCAGTAAACAACATGGCATGTAGTATGTGTCCAGAAACTCCTGCTAAAAAGTATTTTAAAACTACCATGAGTATTAAATTCAAGAAATAGTCTTAGCCCATGGTGATTATAAATTGCACAAAATTCTAGTGTGCTAGAAACACTCCTGCTCCCATGAAAAAAATAAAAACAAAAACCCCACAAACTCAAAAAGCACTTAGTAGAACTCTGCATTGCATCTCTGTTAAAAAAAAAAAAAAAAAAAAGGGGAAAAAAAAAGGGGAAAAAAACGGGGAGAAAAAGAAGAAAAAAATTGAAAAAAGAAAAAAACAACCCCAAAACTTCTAGATATAAGAGTGTTAGCCAGATTTTTTTTTTTTTTTCCCAGACTGATGGTTGGTATTTCTTTGTCCCACACTATTGTGAGATTTAGTTATACATTCTGATACATTGTCTGATTAGAATTTAAGGCAAATTTTAGTTACTGCAGTCACATTTCACTGACTTTAAAATAGCAGGAGGATCCTATTATGCTATTCTTTGACCCTATTATATTTACATTACTGGACTCTTTGTGATAGCCTCTAGCTGCTTTCTAGCTGTGTCCTCCTTGAGCAAAATATGCCCAACAGTAACTGGAAGCTGGGTGTAGTGTTAGAAATCAAGTTCTCATGTGAAATACATATTTCTGCACAGCATCATGAAAGCAAAAGGTTTATTTAATAAGTGTCAATACCTGAAGACATATCCCAGCATTAACAAATAATAATAAATAATAGTAATATTCTAATAATGTGGCAATCCTATTGTGAAAACGCACATGACCCTTAGGTTTTCCTGAAGATGTTCAGAATTCTCTCCATTAGTACAACCAGTGGTGGACATTGCTGTTGCATTTCCCAATGAAACATTTAAAAGACTGTAAATGGTATGTGCATTACTACCTTGGAGAAGGAAGAGGTCAGACTAAATTGCACTGGTATTTAAACATAATCATACTATGAAAATAAATCAAAACATCACGTAAAAGGAGTATTTGAAATGTTACACGCGTTGTCTTTCTGGAATGACATAGCTAAGCAGTTCCCTCTGAGCATATATATTTTAACACAAGTTTACAAAAATAAAAGTATATGATTTTCAACAAATGGGAATAGGTCTACAGTGAAGTATTATGAATATTATTTTGCTCTTTCTTTCCTAATGAGGTTTATCCTTCAGCCAGACAGTTTTAAGACTGAAATACTACTGGCTATAGAGTGTAGATTGCAAATTGCACGCTACTCAATGTGAAAAGGAGCACGTTTGATTGATCGCCTCTGTGTATGTATGCGCCCATACACACAACTCTCTGTAGTTGCATGTGTATGTACTTGGCAAAACCGGGCATCTCTGGCTGTGCTTATCTTAAGAAATGTGAGACAAACATCCATTCCTTTAATCATGTTCATCTTTGATCACCAGTGAGGGTGACACAGTCCACAAAATTAACAAAGAAATTCCCTTGCTTTTGAGACAGCTACATGTACATCTGGGTCTGCACACACATGCACATGGACACACGAACACATAGGCATATATCCCAGTAAGTAAATTATGGCATAACTTTTCATGTAATTGACACCAGACACCTTTAATTTTTCATTTTCATTATTTTGACCAGCTTTCACATTAACAATCTAAGCCATAAATGTTGGTGGCTATTGATCGCAATCCCCTGTGTGCGTGCAAATCCATTTTCAAGTCCCCTGCCTTTAATGTGCGTGTGCGTGTGCAAGGGGCCTCTGATGGCTGTTTATCAGGATCTCCCCCAGCCTGCTTCAAGACGACCCCGGATACAAAACGTGTGCCGATGGCCAAGGGAAAGGGCGCACACACACGCACACGCACACGCACAAAAAGAACCAAACCAAATGATGGAGAAGTAAAGAAACAAAGCTCTCTTGTGTGAGATGCGGAGAAAGATATGCAACCGAAAGTGTGTGTAAGTATACGGTGGGGATGTGTAGGTTGGGCGCCTGACATTTCCCAAGACTTCTGGTGGGTTTCTCCCTGCCGACATCTGGCGCTGCCTCGACCCCGGTGCTCATGGCCGCACCTTTCGGGAACCCGAGGTTTGCCGAAAAGCCGTCACTAGTTTTAAACGTTTGGTAGCACTGGAATTATTAAAAAAAAAAAAAAAAAAAAAAAGGAAATAAAAAAATAATTTTAAAAAAGGGCATTTTTTAAACAGCTGCCGAATGCCACTGCCAGGCTATCACCAGCAGCGTGTGGGTGCGGGTTTGGATGCCCGTGGCTCCCTGCGTGCAAAGCACGCGTGGATTTACACGGCAATCCGACCCAGATTAACTACCTGACAAATAAAGGACTTTTCAGCCCATCGGGCTTTTGGGTAACGTCTTCTGAGCAGCTTTCTCAGAGTTTACTGTTCCTTTACTGTTGACTCCATAGCCTTAACCTTAAAGCAGGGGGAGGAGAGCAGTAGGGAGGGGGTGGGGGTGTTCGCAGCATATAAGTACATCAGGAGGAATTTTTAAACGACCTTATTGTCTCTAGCTCTAGAAAGACCACGATGATTTCTCTTTAGCGCCAGCAGCTGTTTTCTTTCGAAACTTTGCTTTTTTTGCCTCTCACACGAGCGAGCAGGAGAAAGGCAAGGCTGGGAGATCCAGATGCAAGGAGAGGGAAGGAGAACTCCGCGGATGGTCTGAGCTGTGCCGAGGCATTGTTCACTGCTGCCTCTCGGTTACGTTTAAAGGCTGAAATATCACGAGATCCACTCAATGATCCTTTTCTAATTCGAGGGACAAAATGTAATTTGCTGTAGCTCTGCTTTCTCGGATGGGAATACTATCCCTAGGTTTCAGAGGGAAGAACTAGGCATCGCGGTTCGCACACACATGGATTAAGTTGAACAGCGGCGATTACATCTGCGCTGAGAGCAACAGTAGTCCAGGGCTGACTTTTCAAATCTCAGCCCTCCGAGTTAGAGGCTCCCTTGAATAGACTTCCTCCATTCCCGGATGCACTTCTCCAAATTCCCACTTCTCTCTCGAATTCCTGGGAAATTGGGGGCTTGCCTGCATTTCGCCTTGTCATGCAAAACGGCGTTTTCACAGAGTGATTATGCGCTTTCTTTTAGCTGTACCTGACGGGGTAACACGAACTCCACGCACCATATTGCCAACACGCGGAGTGGATATTGACGTTTGCGATTGAAGATTTTTTTTTTTCCTCCGTCGATTTTTTTGCCAAGTCACAGCAGTATAAGATGTCTCATTAATCTCGCGGATGTGTCTAATTCTGGATGTGCAGTGATACATAAAAGTGCTGGTGTTTGTATCCAGCGGAACACTGGATGCACGGCAGAGATTGGTGATTTTTTTTTTCGCAGCGCCTAACGTGCAAACCGCAAGCATCACTTTAACGTGACAAGGGAGAGGCATGCAGCTATCGCAACATTTGCGAAATCCTCGTTCTTGACACTCGAATAATTTAACGTTCCTAAGAAGAGGTTAAACCTTCATGCTGCTTCTTCAAATTGATTTTAAGGGGCTACTATAAATGGAGCATCAAAAAGCTTCGGCAGGGCTACTCCGAGCGGAATATGCAAACTGCGAGCTAGAAGCATCCTAGCCCGATGCAATATCGTACATTGTGTGTTCCAGCACTTTTTTGTTATTACGTAAAGGCTCCTGGAAACACCTTGGATATTTTACATTCTCCTTTCTCTGCTGGAAGCAATCAGCACGCAGGAATCCTGACGTGGGCTCTGGGACTATAGGACATTCCAGCTCGTGATCCAGCACGGTTAATCGTGAAAAGTGTATACATTTCTGGCTTATCTATGCTTTGTTATGGGTCTGACGTGAGCTCACGTCCTCCTCCCCCCTCCTGCAATATTACAGGCAGAATTTCAGTTAAAAGTGTTATAGTATCACGGTGCGGGAACCCGTGATATTCAGACAGCAAAAATAACCTTAGTACCCGGCTATAAAAAGCTAATTAAGCAGAAGAGGAAAATCAAGAGAAACTCGAAAATGTAAGTACTCCCTCTCGTTAACAACCGAACATTTAACTTTGGAGCCTCAGAAGGGGAAATACCAAGCTGTTCTGCACGTTTTCGCTAAGCTTCATTTTCCACACAATGCAGAATAAAACGCTGGTTTAAAGCGGCTACGTTACCGAAGGATTTTCCATCGCTACGATCAGACTTATGTCCTTTAAATTCACGGCATGCACAAAAGAGCAACGTTTGTCCAAAACAGGCTGAAAATATACGGAACGATAGGGGGAAAAAGCATACAAATCCTTCCTCCGAAGCTAGCGACGAGGAAGTCTGAGAGGGCTGAGTGTGTTTGAGCTCGGATTGTTTAATAGAAAGATTTATATACTAACTGTATTATTTACTTTGGGAGGGGAGGTGGCAGTATAAGGGTATGCTAATTAGTGGGAGATTTTTTGGGGGAAGGGGTGGAATATCAATTTTTATTGCATCACCTGTCAGGAGTGTCCAATCAGCGTTGGCTTTAGGGGAATTAATTGATGAAGGTGTCTCCGGACGAGCTCACTTCACTCTGTCATTTTATTTGTAGCTAAAGCAGCGGCGGGAATAGCAGCTGCATTTCTTTTCTCTTCCTCCCTTCACATTCCATTATCATAGTTTCCAGTGGAAAAGCAGGGAATGAAAGGGAACAGGTACTGATCTTCAGCAGCAACTTAGAGAAACACTTTGGCAAACCTGATTTTTAAGATTATATATTGATTGTAGTCTCACGGTATTTTTTAATTTATTTTTTTAAATTTTGTCTAAAGTTTGGCACTTCATTCACCAGGAATAACAGCCTTTGTTATATTTTATTAGCAGGATGCCTTGAGACAAATACAGCATCTGGCTGAGGATTGTGTGTGTGTGGCTTTTTCTTTTTTTTTTCCTTTTTTTTTTTTTTTTTTTTTTTCATCTCTCTCTCTCTCTGCAAATGCTGGGAATAATTTAATTCACGAAATGGGAGACCTGAAGTCGGGTTTTGAAGAGGTGGATGGCGTGAGGCTCGGCTACCTCATCATTAAAGGAAAGCAAATGTTTGCACTCTCCCAGGTTTTTACAGACCTGCTCAAAAACATCCCGCGAACTACCGTGCACAAGCGAATGGATCATTTAAAAGTAAAAAAACATCACTGCGACTTGGAGGAGTTGAGGAAACTCAAAGCCATCAACTCCATCGCTTTCCACGCCGCCAAATGCACCCTGATCTCCAGAGAGGACGTGGAAGCCCTGTACACATCCTGCAAAACCGAACGGGTTCTTAAAACGAAACGGAGGAAACTAAGCCGGGCGCTGTCTGCCACAGATCTCCGGCCGGAGCTCGCTCCCCCCGACCCCTTCTCCGGCTTCTGGAAGGAGAACAAACTTTGGCTGGGTCTGAGCGACTCTCCTCGGCCGCTGCTACCCGTCCGGAGGAAAGCTCTGCGCCCGGGGGACACAGCCTTGCTACCGGCCGCTCATCTACCTCACATTTTTAGTAAATACACTGGCCACAGCTACCCAGAAATCGCTCGGGCGCCTTGCAAATCCCCCGTAAACTATGAAACGGCGCCGGCGGTGGGCGGCTGCGTGCCCCTGCGCTCCCGTCGCCCGCTCGCCGCCGCGGCGCGGCCCCGGCTCCCGACCGCCGGTCCCCCGCCCCTGCCCGCCCGCTGCCGCCGCCGCCGCCACGGGGCGGCCGCCGCCGTCACGCTGGGCCCCCCCGGCGGCGCCCGCCGGCCCCTGGCCTTGCCCCGGCCCTGTCGGCCCCGTGGCGCCCCGCGGCTGCCGCTGCCTCTGCCCCGCGGCTTCGGGCCGCCCGCCTTCCCCGAGAGCGGCAGCAGCGACTCGGAGTCCAGCTGCTGCTCGGGCCGCGCCGCCCACGACTCGGACTGCGGCTCCAGCCTCTCCAGCTCCAGCGAGGGGAGCTCGGAGGAGGAGGACGAGGAGGAGGAGGAGGACGAGGAGGGCAGCGGCGCCTCGGACTCTAGCGAGGGCAGCTCGGAGGAGGAGGAGGAGGAGGAGGAAGAGGAGGAGGAAGAGGAGGAGGAGGAGGACAGCACCTCGGACTCCGACTCCAGCTCGGTCTCCAGCCAGGTTTCGGTGCAGAGCATCCGCTTCAGGCGCACCAGCTTTTGCAGCCCGCCCGGCGTGGTCCACGCCAACTTCTTGTACCATCTGGCGGCCGCCGCCGCCTCCCGGCCCCCGGCCCCGGCGGAGCCCGGCGGGCTGCCCGCCCTCCGCGGCGCTCCCGGCGGAGTCAAGCCGGAGCTGCCGGAGGAGTGGGGCTGCCCCGGCTGGGCTCCCGCCGCCCCGGCGCTGCGCTGCTCCGGCGGCCTGGGGAGCTGCTTCGCGGAGATAAGAGATGATAGGGTATCCGAACTCACATTCCCACACTCTGAATTTTCCAATAATGCCAAGAGTACTGACCTAACAATTAACTGTGTTGCAAAGGGGGCCTCTTCACCTAGCCCAAAGACAAACAATGCATTTCCACAACAAAGAATACTCAGAGAGGCAAGGAAATGCCTTCAAGCAACTACTACACACCGTGCAGATAACAATACAATAGCTGCTAGGTTCTTAAATAATGATTCTTCATCAGCGGCAGCAAATTCAGAGAAAGATTCCAAAATCCCTCATTGTATTGAATTTGCCACGGATTTGCCCTCTTTACAAACTGATCCTGCGGAGGATGCTGCTTCTCCAGGGGCAGCAGCAGCAGCTGAGCTCCAGTGCACTGATACAGGCAATAAGGCATTGCCATTCCTGCACAGCATTAAAATCAAAACAGAGGACAGCAGTGCTAACGACGAGTATGAGCCTGATCTTACAACACATAAGCTAAAGTGTGAGTGCAATGATACTAAGGATGAGTTTTACGGTGTGACTGAGAGTAATAACCAGGACGCTTTATTAACAGCCAAGGAAGATTCTGCATGCACTGAGAAAGAAACCACTTCTTTAAACCCACTGACTCAGAGTCAGGTCCTCTCATGCACTTTAGGTACTCCAAAACCTGAGGATGGGGAGTATAAATTTGGAGCAAGGGTGAGAAAAAATTACAGGACACTGGTTTTGGGAAAGCGACCTGTACTGCAGACTCCTCCAGTCAAACCAAATTTGAAATCAGCTCGAAGCCCACGTCCTACAGGTAAAATTGAGACACATGAAGGAACACTGGATGATTTTACAGTTAACAATAGACGCAAAAGGGTAGCCAGCAATGTAGCATCAGCAGTGAAAAGGCCATTTAATTTCATGGCAAATTTTCCCTGTCCACCATCACTAATTATTGGCAATGATGGGGATTTGTTGCCAGCTTATTCCTTAAACACCACTAAGGATTCCCAACCACCTCACAAGGCCCATCCTGTATGGAAATGGCAGCTGGGCGGTTCTGCAATACCTCTTCCACCTAGCCACAAATTCAGGAAATTTAATTAATAAAGTAGTTTGGAAAATATTTTCTTGAACCACCTTTAACTTTCTTACCTTTTTTTTTTTTTTTTAACTCTGCAGCATGGTTTGTACAAACCCATTAATGCTATACACTATTGGAATACTGTTTTATCACATTGTGAAGACAGAATCTGGATTACTATTTTATTTACCATTACAACAGTGGGGGGTGTTTTCCTTATTTTGGGATCTTGGTAGGTTTGGGGTTTTTTTTTTGTTTTTTTGGTTTTTTTCCTTGTTGGTTTGGGCTTTTTATTTTTTGTTTGTTTGTTTGTTTTGTTGCATTGTTTTTGTTTTGTTTTTGTTTTTGGGGTTTTTTTATTATGTTACATTCCACAGAGTACTTCAGGCTAAAGACTCAAGTTAAACTCAGTTATTATGGTAGAGCTGGAACACTTTACTGTTTAAATGCTAATAATGCACCAGTACCTCAATTCAACTGCTGCAAATAAATGTCAAAAGGTTGAATAATAAATATTAGAATGAGCCATTAAATTTATGCACTAGATTTTGAAAATGGAAGTCTAACTGTTAATTCAGTTAAACTTTGTTAAGTTACATGGTTGCACAGTAAGGGTTCACTATAATTCAATGTGGCAGCAGTATACTTTTCGGGAGCTTTGTTTTCGGGTGCAGGGGTGTCTTTTTCGAAGGGCAGTTGCACTTACTCCTTCTTCTCTGCTTTGGCAAAGACTGGGGTCCGCCTGTGACCCCAGTGCTGGGAAAAGCTGCCTCATTTGAAACCAGTAAATAAATGTGGAATTCTATTTTTGGTAAAAGGGTGTCTTTTTACTTGTACAGCCACTCTTTGCAATTGGGAAGCCTTTTTGTTTCACCTAGAGGTCTTAAATAAGGTTACTGTTATCCACTAATGTCATACTTAAGTTGTGGTCTGAACATGCCCCTTACAAACTTGCAAAGCAACTAAAATATTTGCCCGGCCAGCAGTACAATTTATGGTCCAGCCCCTCATGCTGGCTGGAGGAAATAGCAAAGCAGTAAATACAACACAGAAAGTGAAATGATAGGCCGTAAGTGGAAAGATTACACAAAATCAGAAGACCATGTTATTAATAGCTTTTTGGCAACAAAACTCAGGTGATTCAACCATGTTACACTTCCCGGTTCTATCCTCATGTCTTGAAATTTGCTGTCGTGGGTTTTTTTGCCATGCTATCCTCTCTATGTAGCAGAAACATATTTACTGCACGTGACAATCAGAGGCAATTATCTATATTTGCACTTAATATCAAAATAGTCAAACAGGCAGGCTTCTAGAGTCTAGCCCTCGGTAAGACATGCTGGTATAATATATTGTGATGATGGAAGCAGTAAATCAAAATTATGGAAATTTGCACTGTTGAAAAGCATGCTTTAGCTTTATTTTCAATTAAAAACACTGTTTAAAAAAAATCCTGATTCCAAACACTTTGAATTATTGCAGAGTTATCCGTGGTTTCCTCTCCATTTGTAAGTTCACTGTTTTTATTTGGAGGAAATACGCTTCAAGAGGTTAACTGTTTCACTCCCTCCCTCCCCCCCAACCTCTGCAAAAGAAAGGGAAGGAAAAAAAAAAAAAAAAGGCTGTAGGCCGAGGTGGAGGCAGAGCTGAGGACGGGGGAAGGTATCTCTTGTGGGGGGGAGGACGGATACAGCAACTCTGAAAACAGCCTGAAAAGTTTGCAGCTTGAGAAAGGCAATAATAATTGAGTTGCTGAATCAGCAGAGTTTAGGATGAATAATTGCTGGTTTCTTTCTTTGGATTAGCATTTTATTTATACTAGATCATTCACAAATTAAATTTTAAGGATTCCACTCATCGATCAATCCCGTGAGAATAATTTATCACAAATCAAAAAAGGAAAACAAAGCAACAATGTAATGTTTACTGTGTGACTCAAAGTCAACATTTCTGCTGGCAATCCACTGCCTGGGTTTCAGTTTTTCAATTCCTGCCTTTTGTGATGCCCTGTCCCAACCCCGTGTCTCCAAGTATTCCAAGCAGTCACTAACTGATTTCAGCTCTGTTTACTATATCCACACCGGAGTTTTTCCCTCATTGTAAAAGGCCTAGTCTAAGAATACCTGCAGCCAAATATATTTAGAAAGAGTAAACAATTGCCTTTCAGTGGAGTTACCCTTCCCCCCTGCATGCACACGCACACACACATGCACACACATCACTTTAAGCTGCCAATTGCAAAAGGTGCATTGCATACTTAACTGCTCTGCTGAAATTACGATGGTCATGAAAAATCTGCTTACTGAAGTTGTTCTGAGATGAATGTTTACATTCGTGTGTTTAGAGCTGCACAGATTACAGCCTTATTTCCAGAGAACTGTAAGTACGTACAAAATGTACTGCTCAGGAAAGCCCCCCTGTTCTGTTAGAAACCGTGTCTGCCTGACAAAGGTCTTCCCTTGACCAAAAAAAAAAAAAAAATTAAAAAAATATAAATAAAAAGAACCAAAAGATGCAAAAGTGCAATATGCAAACTCGAAACCTAAAATTTCGCCTTGTCAGTTAAACAACATATCACTTTCAAAGTAACTCTGTCCCCTGACCCTGTTTACTTCCAATTAGAGATATGCTGATTTGGCCAGGAATTGTAAATTACAGAGGTGCCTTTTCAGGTTCTGAAATAATCCGGGGTGAGGGGCTGGGGGTTGGAGGGGGAGGTATAAGCATAAATTTATACCAAATAGGCTCTGCAGAGTTGAGGACGTGAAATATGGCGCCCAGCCTTGCCAGCGGCCCGGGAGCTCCAGGCACCCCCGGGCATCCCCGGCAGGCTGCTCCGCTCGCTCCCCTCCAGCCAGGCAGCAGCAAACGGCAAGGAGTTCAACAGCCAAATAATTTTCACACGTGCACACCTCAGTTTAGTACAAGGCACTAGCGGGGACATTCGTGGTTTTACTACCGTTGGAGAAATTAGCCAGGTACAATAACTCACCAGGAGGAAAAAAAAAAAAAAATAAGGGGGGGAGGGGGATGGTATTCTGTTCAATTCTGGTAGTTTGGTAACTGTTTCTGATGACACTGTAATTATTATTACTATTAGAGTTCATTATAATTTCAGCCTGAAACATGTAATTCTTATCATTGAATTAGATAAAAATAACCAAATTTCTCCCATAAAGGTAAGTTCTAATAATGAGGAAGGAAACCCCAAGATTTTCCATGGGAGACAGGCTACCATTTTGTTGCGATGTTTACATGAGATAAAACTTACAATGTGTTAGTAATTGCCACCATTTTCCAATTCCTGGTACTCAAAAATCAACAGAATTTTCTAGAGGAAAAAGCAATTGAGGAAGTGCATATACTGTAAGGACTACACTTTGTAGGTATTTGCCACAAATAGAATTCACTGGGAAATTTATTGTGACTATTTCTGCTGCCAGACGGAAGACAAAAGAAAGTTTTGGACTCTGTTTAATTCTCTAGAACATTAAAAAGGGAACATGTGTAATGCCTTCAGCAATGAGGTATATTGCCTTAAAAGATGTAACTTGCCGTTTACAGCAATTTACTTTAAGAAGTGATTGTTCTATAAGTTACATTTACTTGACTACAGTGGGATAATCTCTTTACTGGTTGTTTATTTAAAAAGCCACTACTAGCAATAATGCAAAATAGTGGTAGCTGTTGTATGAAGTTTGCTGTTTAATCAATTCATATGGTGATTTTTTACATGGTCTCTGATCCCTCTTACTCTAACAGATTTAGTTGCCAATAAATTAAATTTTCTGCAGAAATGAGAGCAATGTTACCATGTTTGTGTTTGTCGCTGTTCACACGTGTGAGTGGTTGAGACAGAAAAGGGTAAAAAAAGTGGCATTTTTGACACACGGTGGTAATCTGGAGGAAAATATTCTACATATGCAGTATGTTAGAGAACATGAAACACGGATAACCTTGTTAATTGTGGTTTTTATGGTTAAGAGGATTGCTGGGAAGAATATGTAATGGTTCATCCTGGGATCTATTTGGTCAGCTTGGAAGCACAAAAGGAGGGCGAGCGCCTGAAAATGAAAAGCCCTGGCTAGGAAAATCAGGAGGGAGGCTTTGGGATCTACCTCCCTGAAGCCACGCTTGCGGACATTACCCATCCCCTCGCTACTGGGCCCTTCCAGCCGCGCTCTAACAGCTCCGGCCTGACCAAAAACCTTTCGGGAAGGGACAGCGAGCCGGGTTTAGGCCTTACACGTTGCATTTTTTCACTGCGCTGATATAATTATTTCCCGTGCCCTAGGCCCCTCTCTCTCCCCCTCTCCCTTTCTCTCCGAGGCGGCCTCACAAGCCCCCGCTTTAAAAGGCCCGAGATGTTTTGCATGAGGCGCTCACAATAGGGGTTGAGGGAATTGACAGTTTCAAAAACAAGGCGCCCTGTCCTTTCCAGATGCCGAGGACCCCTCTCCCGCACCATCTCTCGTTTGCTCCTCGCTGCTGGTGGCTTTACCCCTAGCATTGCAAATACACGGCAACAGCTGTGTTTGTAAACAGGGGGGAGTACGGTGGGAGCGACGCCGGCCCCCCTCCCGCACCGCTCTCCCGCCGCCTGGAAATCACCAAAAAAAAAAAAAAAAAATTGAAAGGAGGAAAAAAAAAAAAACAAATAAAAAATAAAAAAGAGAAGGGAGGTCAAAAAAATGCGGGAGCGCAGCCGGGGCCCCCGAGCGGCGGGGCTGCCCAAGCGCGGCGGGCCCGGGGCATAGCGCTCCTCGGGCCGCCATCTTGCCCAGCGCGGCGGAGCCTCCTCGGCTCCCTGGCCCAGCTGCACGGGCCGGCTCCCTCGCTCCCGGCCAGGCTCCCCGGCCCGGCTTCCCCACTCCCGGAGCGGCTCCCGCGGGCGGCGGGGCCGGCGCGGCTGTCCCCGGGGGTCCCGCTCTTCAAAGCGGGGCCGTAGCTCCCACCCCACTCCCCCTCCAGCTCATCCGCCGGGGCGTCCATCTTCCCGGGCTCTCCCGTGGCGCGGCTCCGCCGCCTCCCGCCCTGCCCGCTCCGCGCTGGGGGCGAGCCAGGGGGCAAGCCCGTGGTGGCTCCGCGGGGCCCTCAGGGCAGATGCCGGGCTCCGGGCCAGGAAGCGGCCGGGGGAGGCCCGGGGCTCCGGGCTCGGCAGTTCGCCGTCCGCCCCCGCGGAGTCGGCCCGGGAGGGGACGGGGAGCGAGGTCAGCGCAGAAGGTCCAACAGGGCTGTTTGCTCTTGCGTCTAAAATGTAGCCGGGGCTGTAAAGCGTGTGAAATTACGCACCGGTCTCTTAAAGAGTGGCTAATTTATAGTAAATAGCGAGGGCTTTGTAAATGGATTTATTATGTTGTTTCTTGTTAATTGTTGAGAAAATCCCCATTGTTGAGTGTGAATGGCTTTATGGGCTAACCCGGGCCGCGCTGCAATCCCGGGGCAGTAAATGGCCGCTCCGCTAATGTGGCCCGTAGCGAGAAGTCGGACCAGCCGCGGTGACCTTTGGGCGGTGGGGCCGGACATGGATGTCCCGCAGGCAGACCCTGCTGCAGCCTCGTCCCTCGGCGAGGGACGCGCCGAGACCGGAGCGAGCCCTTCTCCCTGCCCGACAGCCCGGGAGCAGCGGCGCGGCCGGACCCTCCCTGTGCGCGGCCGAGGCCGCCGGCCCCGCCGCGGCAGCGCACACGTGCAGGAGCCGCTCCCGGCCTTTGTTCGCGGCCGGGCTGCCCCGGGTGTCCCTGCCCGCCTGCCCCGCACCGCCCCGGCCCGCAGGCCGGCTGTCCTTGCCCGCGGGCTGCGTGTCCCTGCCCGCTGAACGGCACGTCCGCATGGCGAGGGAGGCTCCAAGGCGGCCCTCGGCCTCCCACGCCGCCGTTCTCCTTAGACAAATAAACAGGAGCCAGCACCTCCTGTCCCTTCTCCCTCGTTCCAGAGGGGCGGGGGAGGGGATGGCAATAGGGGTATCGCAATGAACTTCCCCAAACTCCACACCGCGGCCCCCCTTCCCGGCCGCGGGTAGAGGCACGCCGATGCTCTCGCCGGTCAGAAGGACCGGGACGCGGGGACTCCCCGCCGCTGGCACCCAAACCCCTCCCGCGTGCACGTGTCTGCATATTGTAACATACAAATCACGATGAAATGTAAATTCTACTCTAGGAACTTATATTGGGCTATTCTCTTTCCTGAAATCTCTCCCCCTCTGATTTCGCTATTAGGAGAAATCCCCCTGGGTTTAGAGCACTTGTTTCACGGATTTCTGTACAGCCAACATCTGTTGCCTTCCCCTCTGCGGCTCGGGGCTCTGCCCCTGCTGCAGGCAGAGGAAGGAGCGGGTCTCCCGGCGGGCCGAGCCGCGGAGGGGCCTGCGCAGCCCGGCTCTGCCTCTCAGAGATCAGCGATTTTCTAAACTGCCTTTCAGGATCGGGATTGAATTGCAATCATGTCAGATGCGCGGCTCCCTCTTCCCTGAGACTTGTGCTCGCAAAGCTTTTCCAGGCTGATTAGTAGTGTCGGAGCTGCTAGATAGGGCTGTACAGTCCATTTCCCTCAAAACAGGATGTTTCCATCAACCTGCGTTTGGTTTTCCCCAAAGAGCAGCGGAGAGTTTAGCTGGGAAACACGTCCCAGCTAAGACCTCGTCTTCAGCTGCCACTCGGGTCACTTCACATCTCTGTATTATATTTCATCTTGTCATTCCCCTTTCTCTACCTTCCTGGGGAAAAAATAAATAAACTAACAAACAAACAGCCTCGGAAAAGCAGCTGGTGATGGTGAAGCGCGGGGACACCGCAGCGGCAGCACCCGGCGGAGCGGCAGGGCTGGCCACCAGCCCCTCTCCGAGGCCGAGGCACGGCTCTGTCCCGGGCACACCCTCCCCAGCCTCCCGGTTGTTTGTTGTAGATTTGGGTTGCTCCCGGAGCAAAAAACCCTGCTCTCCTGGACCACCTCTCGCCTGGCTGCCCCGGGAGCAACGCTTTTGCTGGGATTTCTAGGGTCTTTGTGCATTTGTGGAGATGAGTGTGAATGGGGCTGCGAGTGTTAAAGCTGCCACATAACCTGTGCGAACATATGTTTTATATTTACCCGCGATGCTTTTGTCTTCCCGAGATTCAAGGGTAAACTGCCCGGGATAATCACAAACCTAGAATTATTATCTAGAAAAGTGCATGAGGAAAAAATATTATTAAATTAAAAAATAATAAAACACCATTAAAAAAAAACCAAAACAAAACCCGACACCACCACCACCATGACACCCCCCCACCCCCCACCCCCACCCCCCCCGCCACCGAACAACAACTAAACCAAAAAGGGTTTGTTCTCTTTTGGAAAAGCTCATTTCCATTTTTGTGGACATGACGTTTTGGTAAGGGTAAATAGCAATAACGTGCTATTCCTTGTACAGTCTTCCAGACCGTTTGAAAAACTTTACTTTGTCTGTTGGGGATGTTTAAAGTAGCACATTATAACCAGAAGAAGGATTTTTAGGTTGTTTCTAGCTATCGTCCCCTTCAAAATCTGGCAAAGTTCGCCTGGGGGAAAAAGATGTTCATGCTAAATGATGTAGCAGAAGAAAAGAGCGAATGGCGTTTAATACGCCATATAAAATAATGTCAGATCTCCCCGGCTGTGATCTCGCAGTCTCTCACATTTTAGAGTAAGTTTATAACTGGTTACCTGGGGTTTACAAATTTTTGCTAATAAAATCTCATTAATTCCATTATGATTTCTGTGTCCTTCTCCCGTAAAGGGGCCTGTAAAGCATAGCCATTCTACACAAGCCCTGCCATTCATCAAATCCGTGAACATTCGTATTTCCCTATCTAGCTGCGTAGAGGACGATAAATAGAAAGGCTCTCCAGATAATCGCTGATATCTCCTGCCCTCCACGCAGAGTACTTGGTGGTGTTTGTTCCGTCCCGGAAACTCGGGCTTCTGAAACACATTTGAAAGTAGGTGAATATCTTAAAACACACATGAAAGTTGGGAATCTTTATATACGTGTTTGCATTGCTCGTGGGGCAAAGAGGAGTATACCCGGCAGCAATTCCTCATCAGCGGACTTAAAAGAGTCTCCTGCCTTTCCCGAGGCCTTTCTGCCTCCCTCTCTCCCTCCCCTCTGTAAACACCCGCGCACAGATGCGGCGAGGCTTCCCGGGAATGCTGCAGCCCGGAGCCCTGCTCCTCTGCCAGCTCCTGCCGTGCTGCTGCATTTGTTCCTCCCGTTTTCCGCAGGAGACGGATGACATCGCGTTTAGGAAAAAGCTCCAGAGGGTAACTGAGAGTTCAGCGGCTCGCAGCCACAACGCCGGCACAAAAGTACAGGATGATTTTGCTGTGGCTTCGTGAGAGCTGCTCCGTCTTCACAAAACCTGCGAGCCGGAGCCGCCCTCCACGCGGAATGTACTGCTTGTGTTTGGTTTATCAACGCTGATGGCGTCTCATCATTAAAAAAGACGAACTGCATAAACATCTGATAGTTTGTATTAAAATAATGCACAGTGACAATTGCACAGAACTGGTTTTAATTTTATTCTAAAGTGTTTACACATCTACATGTGGTGAATTTGTCTTCGCTCAGAAAGTTAAGAATCAATAGCGCTAATAGCTTTGCATAGGTATGATAGCGATTAACATTTTTGCTTCCACCAGCCCCAGGTTTCTGAAGAGGACCGCTTGCGTGCTGAAAGAAAATGAGTTTTCCAATGAGACTGGAAAACTGGCTCTGTCTGCTAAGATGCTCAGGATTTCCTCGCAGGCATCACCGAATTCATCAGGACTCGCTCTGTCTCCATTC